GAACCAGGGCTCTGGTGTCTTGGGGAGAAGCCCTGGGTTCTGCTATGTGAGTTGGCTGGGCCTGTGATAAGCAACAGTGATCCGGGACCACAGCTCCAGAGCCTTCAGGCCTGACTGGACATCCAGTGAGGACAGTAAGTATCGACCCCAGGGCACAGGCATCCTCGGGTCACCAGTGTGTCTTGGGTCCCTTTTACGCCTGTTAACAATATGGGTCTTCAGCATTCCTTTCCTCTGCTTCTAAGTGTCATCAAGTCCCCTGGCTGTTAAGACCAAATCAGACTCTGTGCAACAATTCAAGGAGCCCCAGACCATAGCAGCCTGCCTCTCTGACCTTGACTTCCACCGCTCCAGGCATACCAGTTTCCTCGGGTTTGGGGGACACCCTTCCTTCCCTTCCCGGAGCTAGCCTCTGCCATGTCCTGTCTGAGATCCCCTGTCTCTCCTTTGTCCCTGTCCAGGTCCCAGCTCGTGGTCCTTGACAATCCAATCAAAAAAGACAAAACAAAACACAGAAGCATCCATTCCTCCGGAGTCTCTAGCTTGCTCATTCAGAATGGAGATGGGGGGGGGGGGTTTCCCTAACTCACCAGGTTCATCCCCTGCATTTGGAAATGCTGGTGACAAAGTTGGAGTGCCAGCCTCGTGCCTCCATTGAATCCTAGTGTCTCGGTTCTGTACACAGTCTGCTCATTTCTGCAGGGGAGGAGAGTAACGGTGAGCATGGTTTGTGGAGGGCTCACTGGCACCGTGCCCATGCCACCCACCCCATATACAGCATCCCATTTAATCATTACAGTGTGCCCCTGATGTCTGTGTGCCTCTACTTTATAGATAAGGACAATTCAGTCCAGAAAGATGAAATGCCTCGGCCATAGTCACAGGCCAGATGGAAGCCCAGCCCCACACTCAGGGCTGATGCTCTAAAGCTGACCCTCTGTCCCAAGCTGGGAATCATTGTACCTGTGCTGGTAACCTGCAGAGTGGGCACCCAGCTCCCTCTAGCTCCACTCTGTCCCACAGAACTGCTGTTCTCACTTTCCGGAGCAAAAGGGTGCAAGAGTAGGAGGAAAAGGCTCCTAAAGACTTCCGGTTTCAGGAGCAGAAAAGGGTAATCACCCAACCATCCCAGGGAAGTGCAGGAACAGAGCCATCATGCATGGCTGAAAAGGGTCTTGAGGACAGCTTGCAAAGGGGATGGATGCGTTCTGCCCTGGCAGAGGGCAGGCTGCTTCAGAGTCCAGGAGCAGATAGAGAATTTGAGCCAAGCCTGGAGGGCTGGAAGAGAAGGGCACCCAGGAGCAGGCGTACCCAAACCCAGGACAGCACGGAGGTAGGTCTGCAGTGCTGGACGTGCTTGACGTAGTGAATGATTCAAGGGCAAAGGGCAGTAGAGGTCAGATGATGAAGGGCTGTGAGGCCAGGCTAAGGACTCTGACCTTCAACAGAATACAATTGGGGAATCATGGGAGGTGGGAGTCTCCGTCTTCACAGCAGTAAGTGGGCCCAGGTGGGTGTCCCATGTGGCCTGACTGGCTAGTCTGTCTTCTGTGAATAGCCTGGGGCTACAGGCACCTCCAGTCAGGAGTTGGAAAATCTTACAACTAGATTTTCCTCTGGAAAAACAGACAATGATTCAGCCTCTCCGAGCCTCAGTTTCCCGTCAAATGGGGAAATGCATTCTTGCAGGCTGTAAGGGTGAGAGGAAATCGCGTGGCACAGCAGGGCAGGTGTGTTATCGAGTCCTACGACTCTGTGGACAAGATGGCCCAGGGGGCCACTCAGAGGACCTGCGCTGGGGTCCCAACTTGGCCCCTGCAACACCAACATCTCAGTGCCGGCAGGAGCCCTGGGAAGCAGGCGTGGCCTCTGAGCAGGGCTATAGAGCAGGGCCACCATGCACCACGTTACCTGTAAGGCACAGGGCTCCTGTCCTTGTTCTTTCTCTTCCTGACTCCTGGGAGGCTGCAGGAACCTCACAAGCACCCGCCTGTCCCTCAGGAGACGACGCCCTGCTCAGCTCCGTGCCGCTCACTGCTAGCACACCTCTAGCACACACACTCAAGCTTCGCCCCTGTGGGAATTTTTACACTCTCTCCCTCCTGAGTCACCGGTTGCTTTGTTGAAGAGCGAGACACAACGGATCCCACTTCACTAACGAGGACACGGGCGCCGAGCGGGGAGGAAACGTGACACTGTTGGAATACCCGCGATGTGCAGTGGGTACTACATCCGTTTGTCCATCTCACCCATGGCTCCAACCATCGGGATTCTCTTCACGACAGGAGTGCAGACAGACAGCGACTTGTTCAAGTCTGTAGAGCAAGGGCCTGGCAGGGCATGAGTGTGAACCCAGGTCCGTTTGGAGCTCAGAGTCTGAGACTTAGGACATTGACCATGTGTGGTCAACAGACTGCCCCCTCCCAGGGCTTTTTCTGAGGACCAGGCGGGATAAAGGGTGTGAGTGTTTCCAAGGATGGGGAATGGAGGTGCAATCTTGTCTGTCGTGTGGAGAGAAGGCGCATAGGGAGGATGGCAGAGTGCCCAGATCACAACAAACCATTAGCAGGCCAGGGCTCAAGGCCCTCAGGACAACTGCCTGCCCAGGCCACCCCTCCCCAGGGAGTTTCCCTCTAGAGTGGAAACTCCCACAGTCACAGGGAGAGCAAATGCCAGCCAGGACTTTCTGCCCCTGCACGCAAACCAGGACCTGGGGCTGGAGGCTGGAATCCAGGGTATGACACCCACCGGGCTCCTCTAGCCCCTTCTGGCCACTCTAGGCCATCATTGCTCCCCTCTGATGCCATCGGTCATCTAGAGGGATGTCCAGAGGTGCCAGCATCACCCAACACTGAGTCCGTGAGGCCATGGGGAAGGGAGGTCCAGTGTGGCAGCTGCAGTCAACAGCCAGGGAGCTAGGGAAGGCGAGTTGGGAGGAAGTGGGCCACTGCCCCTGCTGCCCAAGTTCACAGCCCTGCCTCGCTATCAGAATCCACAGTGCCGTCCCCTCCACCCACACCTCCCGGTCACCCGCAGCCTCCAGAGGCTGGCGTGGAGCAGGGAGGGCTGAGATTGGGGATAGCCAAAGCAGCCTGGACTAGGCACATGCAAAGCGAATGGTGACCAAGGCACAAAAGGAGCAGACACCATCCCCAGCCTCCCCACCCCCCACCCCAGCCTCCCCACCCCCGCCCGCTCCAACCACCTCTGGATGATCCCTGCTGCTTTCTCATCACAGGGTAGCTCCGTCCAGGCTCTTCCCCTTCCAGGACCGTGGGTCACAGAATCATAGAAACCCCCCTGTTCTTGACGCTGCCTGATCTGGAGCAAAACTTGCTCCCTGACAACCACCTGACAGAAGCCCTGATCCCCTAGGGTATCCTTTCTTGCCAAAATTGGTGCCTCAGGTTGCTCCCTACCCAAGCCACGAGCTGGCTTTGAGTGAGTGGCTGTACTCCTCAGCAGAAATGTTCGTGTTAGCGGGCTCATCCCAGGCAACCCAGGAACGTGGTCTTCCCACTGCACACCTGTGAGGGGTGCCACACAGGTGGGGGAGCCACCTGTAGACCCCCCACCTGCAGATCCCCCACCTGAAGGAGGGACAGACCTAACTTTCCTTTGCCCCATGGCTGACAGCTAGAGACTCGGTATCTGAAGCCTCCGCGGCTATGATTCTGGGCATGGGGGCCACCCCCACACACACACACACACACGCACAGCTGTCCCACATGGCCACACTGCTGTGTCTGCTGCTCCCTTCTGAGAGAGGCCCCTCAGTGCCAGTCAGGCATGAAGCCTCATTTTATTCTGCCCGGAGGGAATGGGCAGTTGCACAGAAAAGAATTCGCAGGCAAATAAAGGTGACCTTTTAATGTTGAAAACGTTTTTTTATTTCAGTCCTGGGTGCTGGCTCAGCTCTGTCTGATGTGGGTCACAGACATCCATCCCTGCCTGGGCCAGCAGTACACAGCAGCCTGCTCCATTTCACCTGGCCCATGGCTGGTCACATCAGCAGAGAGGAGGTGCCTGGTGGAGGCGTCTTTACTGAAGAGGTAGAAATGTCCCGGAAGGCAGGAGGGTGACGGTGTCTTCTCACTCGGCACCAGCACTAGCTCTTTTCCTTGTCTGGGACCTCCGACCTTCACCAGAGTCATCCTCCTCCCTGTGGATTCCTCCACCCTGGCCTAAGAGCAGAGGGCTTTGCCAGATCTGCAGGCTGGGGTGACCCCAGCTTCTGCTCCATGCTCTGTCCCCAACTTACAGCAAACTCACGAGATTGTGAGCCCTTTGGGGGTCAAGGACCAATGTCTCTTTCCAATGCTATATGCCTGGCATATAGCAGCAGATGCTCAGGAAATGCCAAAGACATCAAGTGGAATTAACCCAGCAGCTGGATTTTGCCCACTTGAAGCCAGGGCAAAGTGTGTTCCGTGAGCTGCTGCTGGGCTCTTCGGGCAGCTTTTTGCCTGGTTTTGTGACTGTCCAGAAGCCCTTTAGAAAAGTGAGTGCCAGAGACTAAGGAGCCATACTTGTCAAAACTGGGGAGGGTGACATCATCTGCAAAGGTTCCCGGATCTGCTGAGATCTGCACATGCCCAACATCCCCTGCAAAGCATGGTGAATGAGGCCAAGAAGTTGTCCCAGGGCAGCGTCAAGCAACAGGCCACAGAAATGGATGCTCACTCCCCAGAGAGAGCATTCTCACCTAGCAGTTGGGACGCCAGGAGAGCTGGCAGAACGTCACTTAGGCGGGGATATAGGAATGAGTGAATTTACCCGGCACAGTGGAAGAAGATAGCTCAAGCATGGGCATGGGCATGGGCATGGGCACGAGCTAGCGGCAGCTGCAGGAACAGGAGGGACCAGAGAGCCGTCTAGAGGTCAGGTTAGGTCAGCAGAGGTCAGCCACAGAGGGTCACAGAACCCAGAGCAGGGGACCTCATCAGCTGAGTGGGGTGAGTCAAACCACCCATCAGAGGACCAAACCTCAGTAGACATGGGGCCCTGAGAGTCCTCTATAGAGGAGCAGGGGCCCTGGGTAACACCACAGGGGGCCCAATTAGAGGTCGCATTAGGAGATGGGAAGGGCTTCCGTGAGTCTGGCTGTAACACAGGAAGACCTCAGAAAAGCCCGCTTGACCTGCAGGTCAACAGAACAAGCTACAATCCGAAGCATGTACTCACTGGAGGTGGGGGGTGACTGCTGCCTCCCCTGTGTGTTCTTTTCGGTTCCCAAGATGCTTCAGCTCACTGCCTCACCTGACCTACCATACAACCCCATTTGGAAGGAGGAAAACTGAGGCCTTATGGGGTCACATGAAGAGAGCAGTACTGTCAGGCTAGACCCAGGAGGCAGTTTCATCTCAGCCCTGGACATCGGGCTCGAAGCCCAACTCTTTGTCGGGGAGGGGGTCCCCAGGGCTGTCTGGTAGCCCATAGTACAGGTCTTCCTCCTCCTGCTCAGGTTCCTCCGCACTTGTCTGGACAGTCTCCTTCTCCTTCATCCTCAGGGACCGCTGCTGCTTGCTGGGCAGAGCTGCTTCCCGCACCTGCCCTTCTGGGACCACGTCCTCTGATGTGGGGGTGTCATCAATGAGGGCAAAGTCACTGAAGCGATCCGGTGGACCCCTGTTGGCCCACGGTACCTGTGGGTGTGGCTCATCTCTGTTGGGTGGGGATGGGTGGGGGCTACTGCCTTCACTGGAACCCATGTCCAGGTCATCTTGGAAGGAGGCCAGGGGTGCAGAGCCTGGGGGGCACCCTGGAGGGCTGCAGAGGCAAAGAGAATGAGTGAAGGGTGGGCCCTGCATCACACTGTCGGGGTCCAGCTCTCAGCCACTAGCTGCAGTGACTTCGCGTATCTCTGGGCCTCCTTCCCCCCCCCCCCCCCCGGAAATTGGGGACAATATGAGTCCTCTCCTTCCCATGTGGTTGCTTCTGAGATGTACAGCAGCTAAAATGTTCACAGCTCTTCTTCACACAGTGCCTGGGACTGAGTAGGTACCCTAGCCATAGGGATGTTATTTAAAAAAAAAACAAAACAATACAGCCAGCCAGGTGGCCCATCCACAACTGCAGGCGTTTGGGATCCTTCTCTGGCCCCTCACAGGCCATTTCCCACTGCAGGTCCCTCTGTGTCCTTCTTTGCCCCTCACTCCCCACCCCCAGCAGTAGACTGGGAGCTCCAGGAGACTGGAGGCCTGAGAATGAGCTGGTGTCCAGTAATGGACATGTGGATGAGTGGAGCAATCAGAGACTTGACTGGAAAAGAAACAGGAACTGGGCTGCGGCGGCGGGGACTAAAACTTGTCCGAGACACCGAGCAGGTCAACAGCCCAGTCAGGATTTAAATCCAAGCCCTCTGGCTCCTGGCCTCCTGCTGCTCATGACAAGCATTTGGAAAAGGAAGAACTGTGCGCTGGACACTTAGAGCATTGTCCCTGTGTCATGAAAATGACTGTTCCCCTGGGAGAAACTGCTCAGGAGAGTCCAAAACCGGACGCTTACAGAGTCAAGGAGTCGAGATCAGCACCTAGGTCCTTTAGAGCCCCAGGCCAGCCTCATTTGCCTGTGACTCTCCTGCCCTCTGCTGCTCACTCCCAAGTGTCCCTGCACACAGCCCCCCCCACCCCCGCCCGCACTTGTCCTAAACCTGGGCAGTACTCACACCCCTATGCTGTCCACTCACCTGCTCTGAGTATGGGGTCCTTCTCCCTCAGTCTCATCCACGCCCCTGTGGACGACCACCGTAGCTTCCATCCAGGCCTGAGCAGTCCGAGGAGGCTCGCCGTCCCCACCACTGCTGACACCTGTCTTCAGCTCAGGGGCCAGCAGGGGCCTGGGATCCTCACTGTAGCCCAGGACCTTCATTTGGATGTGAGTGAAGTCTGGAAGGCTCTGGTCGTAGGCGGCTTCTTCCCACAGCCTGACGTAGGGGGCTTGGGGGCTGGGTCCAACAGACGGTGGGAGAGAAGCGGGCAGGTAGACATGAGTTCTCTCACCATGGCCCCCTGTCTGCTGTGGGGGCATGGGCCCACTGACTTCGAAAGAAACACTTTAGGGGCATCGCTGTGCCCAGGCCCACGGATGGTGAGACTGAGGCCCAACTAGGTGTACAGAGCTCTGGCCTGATCCCAAGTCAACATCACATAATGTCGTGAAAGGTATCCCCGGCATGTAATGGTAAGACGGAGAGGACTCGGAACTAGAGAGATGCACTAGCTGCTCTTCCAGAGGA